GCTATCATTCAATAAATGCTCTTTAAAGAAATTATTTACATTTGAAAAAGAGAAATGACCATTTTTCTTTTACCTTTCATACAAAAAAATGAAATAATCCATTTAATTTTAAAAGAAATCCACTAAAAATCACCTTCCACATTGGGATGCAAAGTTTGAAAATGAGATCTATTCTTAAAAAGATAAGACAAAGGTTACAAATAATTTTAGAGGATAAAAAGAGCAAGCATTATTGTGTATGAGTCCCTTTTGGAAAGAAAATCCATGAAAATTTGAAAAAAAAAATTTCAAGATGAAAGGGATGAAAAGAAAGGTCAAAATACCAAGTGCTCTAAATGAAGAGAAATGATCATATGGTTTATGACCTTTCATACACATGCTTTGAGCCTAGTCTATCCATTTAAAAAAAAAAACTTTCACCATGGCCTACATTAAATGCCTTAAAAACCCATTTTGATCAAATGTCGATGTTTTGATTATAGAATCATATATTGAATTAAGGCACACTTGTGGTGAAATTCAAGGACAATGAGATTATGATCTTTTCTTGGGATTGATTTAAAGTCGATGGGAATGCTTGTGATAAAAAAAAAAGATGAAAAAATTTAAAAAAAAGAGGAAAAATGAAGATTTAAATTAAAAACCTGAAAAGGTAATTTAAGTAAAAAAAGATATCTCTACCGAAAAAATAAATGGTAGTTTAGGAATACAAGACTAGGATCATTTGAGAATCCATAGGACAGAGACATGATTTGAATTGGTGAGCTAAAAATGATCAAAGGCATCGATAAAATGAGTTTTTGAGAAAAAATTATGAATCAGTGTTAAAAATTGTCTGAATATTCATTTTTTAGATGTCGTTGTACTATCCAAACACTTATTTCAATGATATGCTTTGAAATTATTCATCTGCCTATTTGTTCTTTACTAGACTTGTTCTTGCATCGAATATTCCTTTTCTTTAATTTACCTTATCATTTCTACTTTCCAATAATGAATTGGTGAGACTTGTAATTGAATTGCATTTGTCATGAAATTAGAATGATGGAAAATAAATGATAAGACACATAAAATATCCTTGTATTACTTTGGAATTGAACTTGATAATGATAGGGATAAAATGAAACTGATGAGGAAATGATGAAAGAAACTTCAAATTTAAAAAGCTATTCTAGAGAACTTCAAATTTGTGAAGTAGATGATGGAGTTGACAAATGTACATTTTGGTTCATAAAGCAATTGATAGGACTATTGTAGATAGTCGGTTCTGAAGTTATGATTGCTTCGAAGTAGAAAAAACAATTGGAAGCTAAAAAAAGAGAAAACATGGAAAAAAGAGTCTTAGGAACCTTGTATACTACGATTAGAAGTTCATTCTAATGTTGCATTTCATGTATGGTAATCATGACAATCATTGTGTATATTGCAAGCAAGAAGCTTGGAATTTGGATTTGAAAATTGAAATTAACGAGAGGTTGAAAATTTTTCAAAAAAAGAAAATGTGAACTTATTAATCCTTAATTGAGGTGATTTTTCAAGATAAGATTTTAATCTTCAATAAAGGAAAATTTTCAAAGATGAGATGAGATTTCCATCCTCGGTTAAGAAGAATTTTTTTTACAAATAAGATTTTAAGTTTTGGATGAGGGAAACATATCAAGAAAAAGAGCTTTTAAATTTTCTAGCATCATTTGTGTATGTTTAAAGGAGAATAATTCGCAAAATCTTTGAATAAGATTCATAAGGCTTCAAAGAAAGATACATCAATTTTATTTTTTACCTTGGTTTAGTCTAGTCCCCTCTCATTTTTTATTTATGGTTAAATCCTAGTCACTTTATTTTTCGAATTATGGTTTAATTCTGGTCATTTCATTTTCAAGTTAGAGGATTAGTTCCAGTCACCTCATTTTTTGACTTGTGATTCAGTCTCTATCACTTTATTTTTCAACTTGCAATTCACTCTTGATCATTTCATTTTCGACTTTGGTTCAATCTACGTTATCTTATTTTTAAAGTTTAATTCACTCCAGGTTATTTCATTTTCAACCGACACCCTCGGTAGCCTTTACCACTCATTCCCACCATTAAACCTAGCCACAAATCTCAAAAGTAACACACCTTTACCACCATCATCGTCGTGCTCCAAAAAACTATCAAATTGTCAACATAAAAAAAAATCTCAAAAAAATAATTAAAAAAAAAACAATAGTCCTCACCGCAGTGAAGAAACCAACCAAACAAAAAAATACAAGAAAACAAAACAATACAACAAAAAGATTATAAAACTAGTGGCGAAAGGAAAAAGGGTTTTTGATTAGGCTAGTTATATATAGTTTCAGGGCATCAAACTCGATGAGAGGAAAGGCTGAATGGTAACGAACAACTTACTAGAAGATCGAAAGATTTGGTGCGGTAGAAATTGGTCTTTCGAGGTTTTTGTACCACGACTTTAAAGGTAGATCAAGGCTTTTGGAGGCAAATTTAAGAAAATCTGAGCATGGATTTAAGACAAGGATGTCGAGAAGAGTTTCTAGTGAAATTTTAGGGCTAAAAGGTAGTGGCTGACGACAACAGGCGATGGTTGGTATTCTGACCAACACTGAAATCTAGGTAGCTTCAGGTTTTTCGATAAGGATGGGAATTTTAGAGTGAAAAGGTTTGGGGTTAAAGAAAGTGAAGGAGAAAATTAACTGAAGAAAGGGGTTTTATACTAAATAAAATGCATGTTGACCCACAACTCAACTCGAAGTCCATGTCACTAACTTGTTCCGAACTATTTTGAGCCAAATTGAACAAGCTTGAATTGTCAAAAAAACAGTTTGAATTAGATTAAACTAAGATGAACGACCAAAAAACTAATCTGAACTAGCTGAGCCATTGAAATGTTGACTGAGCCTTTTGACTATTGATCAGTTGTTGACCAAGTCATTAATCAAAGGTATTTTTGGTCTTTTCTTTATTTTTTAAAATTTTTTATAATTACTTATTTTATGTGGATTTTAATTGTTGCATTAAAAATATTTTTAAATTGGTGTAGAAAATAAAATGTTTGAAGTTTGAAATTTATTTGAAATAAATTTGAAAATGTTATGAAAAAAGTTGAAATATTAATTTTTTCCAATTTCTTTTTTATATAAAATTCTTCTATATATATATATATATAATGTTGTTTTGAAATGTTAAAGAAAAAGTTGAAATATTAATTTTTTTTAAGCAAATAAAAATGTTTAGGAAGAAGTGAAAATATAAAATTTTCCTAAATTCTTTGAAAATTAAAAAAATCAAATAAAGAAAAATAAAACATTTCTTGCTTTGAAAATTACAAGGAAGAAATTAGAAGCATCAATTTTTTTAGACTAAATTTTTGAAAAATGGTTAGGAAAAAGTTGAAATATCATTTTTTCTTAAAATTTTAAATTCAATTTTGCATCTTCCAATGATAGAATTACTAGAAAGTTATAATAGTAATTTCTATATAAATTCTTAGGCAAGATATTATTCTTTAAATGTTGCTAAAATGTTAGAGTATTTAAAAAATTTTCAAATATAAAAAATTCTAAAATAAAAAATCATTTTGAATATGATGACAGATTCTCTTCAAAAGTGACAATAGATGTCTTAAATATTTTCAAAGTAAGAAAATATTCTTAAATTTCCACTAAAACATTAGAATAATTTAAGGATAATTTTTAATATTAAACTCTTTTGAAACATTTTTTAAAAATTTTTAAGGCTTTAGATAATACAAAATTAGTCGATATCATATTTTGGATGGGTGTTATGGGAGTGTATATACTTTCTCGTACATAACCGTACTTACAAACTCAACTTTAATTCACAAAACAAAAGATTTTTACTAAATTTTAATAAATTTTAGGGTTTATTTAAAAATAAAATTGGTAATCAATGACACCTAAAAATTTAGTAACGACTCTTATTTTTGTGTTTATCGATCAAAAGATCATTAGGACTCATTCATGACTGGATAAATATATATACTTCTTTAAATAAAAAAATTCATTAAAATGTAATTAATGATTGGATTTTGTTAATGCGACTATTTAGGTTTTCAAGATTATTGTATTAAATAACAATTTTTTTCTTCAAATTGCATTTAGTAACTTATTAAAAGAAAGGATTTGGATTTAAATAACACTGGTGATTTTCATGATTTGTTGAATGCATATTTAGTGGCAAATTTAAAAAATATCTATAGGCATTTCTAAATTTGAAATTTATTTTTTATATATTTTTAAATATGTAGACATATTGTATTTTAATTAATTTATATATAATTTGTGTATTTCATTCTTGTAATTTATATAGCATCTTAATTTAAATCCACTCTTTTAAATTCATTTTTTAATGTTTTTGAGTTCATCATATTAACTTATAATTACTATATTTAATACAAAATTATTATTATAAATTGAATTTTAAAAATCTTATATTATAATTGTATCTTTGGGACAGGCATTAAAAAGCAACAATGTTTATATAAAATTATTTAGAAAATCAAACTTGTGTTTGAGTTCTTCATACACGTGATGAGATTTTTTTTAATAATTTGACACATTCAACAGTTTTATTTTTTTTAACTTGGTAATAGATTTTTGGGCATGTACATTCTTTTTTAGATAGATTCAAGTACGCGTATTTATATTGTTTTAATAAATTTATAAAAAATTATCTTCTCTTATTCTCTCAACTAATTTAAACCCAAATAATAAATAAAAAAGTACATTCTTTTTGTCACGTTATTTATTTATTTATTTTTATTTTGATATAATTAGTCTATATAACAAAAATTAATTGAGAAATGCAACACATTGTTCTCTTTTTATTATTTTTTTAGTCAATAATCTCATTCCTTTGTTTCATTTGAGTGTTTAATTTACATTATTCCATTCTCCTAAAACAAATTTTCCTTTTGAAATTCTTTTAATCATTCAAATTCAAGAGAAACTAATTTATTGCTTTGGGTTGTATTCGAGATACAGGGTTCAATTCAGGGTCCAATTCGAATAAGAAGCTCAAACTAATCATAGGTATGAAATAATTTATTGGATAATAAAATAGTTTGATTACCATCTCGTACACAATCAAACGCATGAAGATCAAAAGTCGTACAATAGTTTAATGACTTAAATATTCAAATTCTCAAAGTAATCCTTTGTCTTTAATCATTATTTTTATTTTTTCTGAGATCAATGCTAAAGTTATCTAGTTGTTTACTTCTTACCCTTAATAGTTTACGAAGTTGACTAATAATTACGTGCTTATTCTTATTATTGGTTGCCTTTTTTTTTTTTGTGGTGCAATATTATTGGTTGCTTTAATCTATATTTTTGATAATTAACAACTAGGATAATTACAATTTTGTTGCTTTATCAGTGTCTCAATTTGATAATTCAAGTACACATATTACATGTTCATTTACACAGCTTTAAATATTTTGTATAGACTAATATATAGGCTTGTCTAATGATCAAATTATTCATTTAAGTTAGAAGGTTCGCTCAATATTTACGAGGTCTTGAACAAAAGTATTGGATGGGTTGGGACAAAATTTTGAGCTCAATTTAATAATAGGACCGAGCCTTTGTTCTAATATTAATAGTTCAACCAGCTCAATATATACTTTTTTTTAAAGTAAAATATTTTTCATTAATTAGAAGAAAAAGAACAATAAATATTATAAATATTTATATTGTAAAATATTTTTAATAACATTTAAAAAGGGTTTAGATATATTAATGTTAATGAAACTTTGAGGTCTTAGGTTTAAGTTTATTAGATGTGGTTTGATTGTTTAGTTATGTTATAATTTATTAGTTGATTATTTAATAATTGTGATTTGATTATGATATAATAATTGATTATTTAATTAATTATATAAATGTAATACTTGATTATTATTGTAATTTCAAATATATATTAATATTAATAAGTAGCTTGTATTTGTTAATAAAATTTTGTGAAAAGTAACATTTTTGTCTTTGATTTGGTAAAACCTACAGGGTTCTTAGCTATAAAGAAAAGCCATATATATATATATATTTGTTTGCTTATTTATATGAACGGGCCTTGGTTTTATTTATGTATTTTTGTTATATAGTGTCGCACACTTGGACCTCAGAAATAGTCGAGCTAGACCAGGTTTGGGAAAACATTTTATTCATTTAGACCCATGGACAGCTCAATTAATATAGCTAATCACACTATTGAAATTTAACTTATAATTAATTTTATTCTTAAATTTGATAAAGATTTTCTAACTTTTATAATTGAATTATTCGTTACTTTCCTTAAACTTCATTTAAAATTATTTTTAGAGGAAAATTCTGACAGTTTTACTACAATTTAATTGGTTCTTGAAGAAAAACATATATCATTTGTATAACTAATTATATAACTTATAATTTTGTTAACTATGATTGTTTAAGTGTTATAATTAACAAAAGTTTTATTTCTTTCAAGATCCTTTTTTTGTTTAATTTCATTCATTGGTTTTATTTTCGTGGAATTCATACATAGAAGTTAATAAACGTATTGACCTTTATATGACTGATCAGAAATAAATTAATACTCCTAGCTAATTAAGTTGCTTTGCCATTCTTCATCAACAGGATTGGCAGTCGCTGTAACCATTGCTATGGTTTGTACTATATGCTTCATTGTTCTGATCAGGTTCAAAGGAGAATCATTATCAACTAGAAATTCAATTCATCTCTGGCAGCGAAACATGAACAATAATGTCAGTGTTGAGGCATTCATCAAAGAGTTCGGTTCTCTTGCTCCAAAGAGATATTTTTACACAGACATCAAGAAAATGACAAACAAATTCAAAGATAAATTAGGTCAAGGAGGATATGGCCACGTATACAAAGGAAAATTGCCTGATGGTCGTCTTGTGGCGGTGAAAGTTTTAAGTGAAACCAAGGGAAATGGAGAGGAATTTATGAATGAAGTAGCTAGCATTGGTAGAACTTCCCATGTCAATATAGTGACTCTACTAGGTTTCTGTTATGATAAATCAAAGAGAGCTTTGGTCTATGAATTCATGCCCCATGGATCATTGGATAAGTTCATTTATAATCAAGGATCACAGGATCAAAGTCGTCGATTGGAGTGGAAAACTTTGTATGACATTGCACTCGGCATTGCTAGAGGACTAGAATACTTGCATCAAGGTTGCAATACAAGGATCTTGCACTTTGACATAAAACCTCACAATATACTTTTAGATGAGGATTTCTTTCCGAAGATCTCTGATTTTGGTTTGTCTAGATTATGCGAAAGAAAGGAGAGTATTATTTCCATGACAGGTGCTAGAGGAACTGCTGGATATATTGCCCCAGAAGTGTTTTGTCGAAATTTTGGAAGAGTTTCTTATAAATCTGATGTCTATAGCTACGGAATGATGGTCCTTGAAATGGTTGGAGGAAGAAAAAATATTGATGTTGAAGTGTCTCAAAGCAGTGAAATATATTTTCCCTCATGGATTTATAAGCATCTTGATCAAGCTATGAATTTGAGTCTTGATGGAGTAACAACTGAAGAGGAAGAAGAAATAACAAGGAGGTTGATTGTGGTGAGCCTTTGGTGCATTCAAACCAATCCAACAGATCGACCATCAATGACCAAGGTGCTAGAAATGTTTCAAGGGAGCCTCCAATTATTGGTAATGCCTCCAGCACCTTTTATATCATCTCCTGCACGATCCCCTGAAACTGCTTCCACAACATAAATAAATGATCCTCGACGTAGGCCTAGTTTTACACATTGCAATTTCCATTTCAACTAGTATGAAACCTGCGCTTTTCTGCGATTTTGTTACTGTTTAATGTGAAGAAAGAGATATCAAAGCATTCATATCTTTAGGTAGTTAATATACATAGATAGCATAATATTAGAGTGTTTGGTATAAAGTAATCTCTTTAAAAATCATAGTGATTTGCATTCAATAATTATATCACTTTGTTTGGTGACAATTTAAAAATTTTACATACCAGTGATCTCAAATCACTATTGTGATAAGATCACTATCTAGAAGAGTGATCTGATTCCTAACTTAAATAATAGAAAAGTTTTATACCATGAAAAAGTAATTTTCAATATTATTTTTTGACTAATTTTCCCTCACAAAATATATAATTAACATTACTCTAAGAAGCTGATCACCAGAAATTTTTAAAAATTAGTTTTTTAATTACTTATTCTAAAATATGTTTTATGGTATAAAATTATATTGACTAAAAAAATAATTAATTTATTTAATGAATTTTTTATAAATTATTTTTATCAAAATTCATTTATACTTTGTAGTTTTCTATAAAATAGTACTTAATTATTTTATAAATTGTTGATTCAATATGTATTAAATATTTTACTTTTTTTTCAATATTTTGTACTATGTAATTTATTTATTTTTCATATAATACCAAATACAATGAATTAAAAACACTAATGATTTATAATATTGTATCAAACATGATAATTTAATATTACTGGTGATCAAATCACCTTAGTGACATTATCACCATAGTAATTAAATTACTGTAGTGATCTTAAAAATGATACTAAATACTACATTAGTGTTTGTACATCAAGTGATTGAATTTAAGAGGGAGACTGGACTATAGTTTGATAAGTGCTGGTTTTCAAAATAACAAAAGTAAATTGTCGAAACAGATAAAAATATTCATAATGGATAATCAAACGTCATTTATGAACTACACATGTTTAATATCCCTCACAAACTTGTGGGCAAAACTTTTAACTTTCAATCAGATGGTTTTTTGATGTGTTCATGCTATCGTTTCGTTGTTTCCTTTGATTTGTTCTTGTGGAAGGAGAATGTGAGTATGAGTCAATTTATTTCAATGTTGTGGAAGAAGTATATAAGTGAAATAAGTTATTAAACTATAGAAGCCAATAGATTTCTTTATTTGTTAGTTTTTTATACTATTTTTGCAACTGTCCCAAAATATAATTTATTCAAATATTAATATATATTGTACGAGTTTCTTGCACCAAAAGCCACAAAGAAATAGAGTTGACAACATCTAAATTTTAAGACATTGAAAAAACAAATTTCAAAGTCCATGTCAAACAACATCGGTTACTTCAATTGAACATATATGCAACATATGCTTCTCATTTTCAATCGACCATATAACGTGCATCTACTTAACATTTCAATCAAGTGTTTTTATTTTAAAATCTTAATCAATATAGAAAATTCAAGGATCCCAATTCTTTAATAATGCAAACATAGTATATACTTAAAATATTCAAGCAATCATATAATATGCTCATGCTTAACATTTTAGTCAAATGTTTTTAATATAAATTCTTAATCAATATAAAAAAGTTAGAGATTCTAGTTTTGTGACAATGCAAATAAAGTATATGGTTAAAAACTTATTAAGGTTTATGATTCCATATGAGGTAAAATTACAAAAAAAAGAAAAGGAAACTTATTAAGGTTTATGATTCCATATGTAATTTTACCTCATATGATTCCATATGAGGTAAAATTACAAAAGAAAAAAAAGAAAGAAAGTTGCAATCAAGTCAAACCAACAAAAGCTAGCAGATTATTTTAGACTATAAAAAGGAAAAATGCAAGTTTATAACATTCAACTTATATAATGCATGATTCATATTATTTGATTTATATAACATTATTTTGACAAGAAATAAACATATTGTCTAAGATAAATTCAATTCAATTGGAGAAGTTATATAATTCTTTGCAACTAGTTAAAATGCTTTTCCATTTGGATGGTGAAAAAAATTTCATGTATTTTATAATTTGGATACAAAATTTATAGTATTGTGTGGTTATACATGAAATTTTGATTGTTTTTAATGATATGAACTGTGGTGGATATAGCTTTAGTGTCCATGATTAAATAATTTTTTAAGTATCCAAGAGTTAGAATGAAAGTCTCAAAAGGAGACCATAGAAAGCATGAGTTTACAAGTTTTTGGAGGGTCATTATATTTGGTATCATACTTATTGATGTACACTCTTATGTTGAGTTGAAATAAAAGTTTTAGAACTTTTATGAAAAAGAAATATTAAGATATATGTCATAACGTCTAGATCCGAGGATCTATCGCTAGACATTGACTTTTAGGAGTTGCCACCAATCTTTTTTATCTAGGTGCGATTGGTCACCTATAGAATCTGTCCTTTTAGGGAACACCTAAGTTTAAGGGTCCTTAAAAGAATAGGTTTAGGTCTACTAATCAGAACAGGGTTCGGGAGTTCGGTTATGTGTGAGGAAGGTTATAGCACCCTCACAACGCCCATCAAAAGATGGTACCAGCTTAAATTTGTGTTATCCAATGAGCCTTAAAATTTTGTCAAGTAATTAATTATTGAAAATTATTCTCAATTGACTCTAATACTTTTAGCAGAAAATTGAGAAAATTCCCTCACCTCAGGAGTATGCAAGAAAACTACTGTTTCACTTGTAGAGGCTCAATCGTCGGATTATTTAAAGAAAAATCAAAATCAAAATCAAAATAAAAAGGAAAAAACGAATAATTGTTCTTGTGCAGGGAAAATTGATACTTTCAACTTTTCCTCAAAAATCTTTTTTTTGAAAATTTATCTTTAAGGAAAATTGATACTTTCAACTTTTTCCCAAAAATATTTTTTGGAAACTTTTATTTTCAAGGAAAATTGATACTTTCAACTTTTCCTCAAAAATCTTTTTTTTGAAAATTTATCTTTAAGAAAAATTGATACTTTCAACTTTTCCCCAAAAATATTTTTTGGAAACTTTGATTTTCAAGGAAAATTGATACTTTCAACTTTTCCCAAAAAATATTTTTTTTATTTTTATTTAAAGAAAATAGAATAATAAAGCAAAATAAAAGTGAAAAAAAAAATAAAGAAAAGTAAAACAAAAATAAAATAAAGATAAAATAATATTAAATAAACCTAATCTAATAAATAGAAAAAAAAATAAAAAAATAAACAAATAAATAAAAAATTCAAAAAAAAAAAAACCTGGAGCGGCTCGGAGTACGGCTCGGCTCAGCTCGGTTCAAGGAAGAGAAAACGGCTCGGAGAAGTGGCTTAGGACCTCGGCTCGGCTTGGCTATCTACTCGGAGGGGGGACACGCGAGGGTCAGAAAACGGGTCGACGCTCGGGTCGGGTCGGATCTCGGTAAAATGCGCGGATCCTTTGGGTCATTTAAGGCAAAAATGACGTCATTTTGAGAGGGTACATAAGGCTCTTCCCTCTGTTTTTTCTGTAAAAACCCTCTCCCCTCTCTCTCTCTTCTTCATTTTTTCTCTCGCTTCTCTCTAAACGGTCGAAGAACTCTGGTTGAATGCTCACTAGATTCTGGGAAATTTCACCGAAATCTGGGTTTTTCGTCGAAAGTTCATCGGAAAGTTGGTCGGTTTCTGGGACTGTTCATCAGAAACTAAGCAGCTCACCAAAAACTTCAAAGTTGGCCGAAATTTTCATCGAAAAATGCAACTTTCGTAGGAAAATTCAACCGAAATCTGAAAATTTCCAGAAATTCTCAAAAAAAAATTACCAAAAATCTTCAAAAAATTTTTGCTAACTCCCAGAACACTTTTAAACCTTTTCTTAGTCTTCTATACTCTTCTATACGCATCTTTTCTCTCAAATCAGTAGCTTTTTTGCTCACTGATTTTTTATGTCTTGCTTCTGTTCCAGAGGGTCCCTTTTATAGGGATTGATTATGAGTTTCTGATCAATCCCAATTTCTCTTTGGACGGGGATTCAATCTTTGAATCCAATCTGGACTCTTCTGATTGAATCCCAATCCAATTTCTAGTCAGATAAATCAAAAAAATAAAATAAATAAATAAAAGAAAAAATCAAACGAAAATAAATCAGATAAATTAACAGATAAATTAAAATTAAATAACAGATAATTACATAAATATTAACAGGAAAAAAAAAGAAAAAAATAAAATAATAATAATAATAATAAAGATATATACATATTAATAAATACATAAATCCTTAAAAAAATAATAATAAAAGAAAAGAAAAAATATATATATATACATATATAAAATAATAAAATTAAAAATAAAAATAAAATAAAAAATGTAAAATACAAAATAAAAATAAATTAAAAAAATAAAAATAAATGAAGAGAAAAAGAGGAAAAAAAATTAATACAGACTTACCCATTTGGGCCAGGCCCAATTGATCCATGCCTGGACCAAATTGGGTGTCTACAGCTGCCTTTCTTTGCACATTTTCTGTGAAACAAAAATTGCGCAAAGACGTAGACACCCAATCAAATCTCAACTCGACCATTTTACTTTTTTTTGTTTTTTGTTCTTTTTTTCTCTTTTTTTTTTGTTTTTGATCAAAACTCCTTTAAACAGAGGATCAACGACTTTGAGAAACATAAATGGCTCCTCTAATCAGAGGCTCAACGACTTTGAAAAAATAAATTGCTCCTCTAAACAGAGGCACCACGACTTTAGAAAGTAAAATGCTCCTCTAAACAGAGGCACCATGACTTTGAAAAGTAAATTGCTCCTCTAAACAGAGGCACCACGACTTTGGAAAGTAAAATACTCCTCTAAACAAAGGCATCACGATTTTGGAAAATAAATTGCTCCTCTAAACGAGACACCACGACTTTGAAAAGTAAAATGCTCCTCTAAACAGAGGCACCACGACTTTGGAAAATAAATTGCTCCTCTAAACAGAGGAACCACAATTTTGAAAAGTAAAATGCTCCTCTAAACAGAGGCACCACGACTTTGAAAAGTAAAATGCTCCTCTAAACAGAGGCACCACGACTTTGGAAAATAAATTGCTCCTCTAAACAGAGGCACCACGACCTTACCACGACTTTGAAAAGTAAAATTACTCCTTGACAGTCATGTCCAAAGGAGTTGAAAGTTGTGTTTGAAAGAATTTCAGGAGATTATGCCCAAAGGTCTTATAAATCAACCCTGATACCAAAAGACATCCTATTTCAAGGATTAGGAACTTACCTGACAAGTTTCTTCTCAAATTTGCATGATCTCAAGATTTGCATTTGCAACTTGTAAAACTTGCATCAAAGATCCTCATTTAAATTTTGGAGGCTCACATCCAAAAGTTCAAGGCTTTTTAAAGGTTCTTATTTGGCAAACTTGGAATTCATATCCAAAAGT